GCTCGTCCCAAAGGATGGATGGATGGACGGACATAACTCATCCTGAGGGTAGGATGGATGGATGGACACAGCTCATCCTGAGGGATGGATGGACATGGCTCATCCCGAGGGATGGATGGATAGACACGGCTCATCCCAAGGAATGGATGGATGGACGGACATAACTCATCCTGAGGGTGGGATGGATGGATGGACACAGCTCATCCCAGGGGATGGACGGACTGACATGGCTCATCCCAAGGAATGGATGGACAGAGCTCATCCCAAGGGACAGATGGACGGATACAACTCATCCCGGCCTCTCCAGCCAAGGAACATCTAATTTTATCCCAAGGCCACGGAAGTGGTTTCCGTTCCCAGCACACCCCTGTCCTCTGGGAGGTGGAGGGGAGGGTATGGGGACAGTGTGGGGACACATCCTAGGGACAGCAGGGGAGCAGTGTGGGGACAGGGACTCACTCGCTGGTCATCTGCAGGACCTTCTCGATGGTGCTGTAGCCCAAGGCCATGAAGGTCTCGGTGTACTGGGGCATGCGGATGGACTCCAGCCACTCCGGGACCGAGCGGAACGGGACGCCCTCGGAGCCGCTGGTGCTGGGCAGCCGGATGGACACCCTGGGAGACAGGCAGAAAAACGATGTAAACATAGAAAGATGCAAAAAAAGTGGTGCAGAAACGCAAGGCTGGAAAAGCGATGGGAGTAAAAAAAACCAGAAAGGCGTAAAAATGATGCAGGGAGGAAACAATGCAAAAAAATTGATGCAGGAATGGAGGGGTGTGAAAAAATGATGCGAAAACGGAAGGTGCAAAAACGGTGAAAATGGGAGTTTGCAGAAAACGATGCAGAAAAGCGAGGACACTGAAATATTGCGGAAATGAAACAATGCAAAAAATGATGCAGGAATGGAAAGGTGCAAAAATGGTGCAGTAATGAAAGGGTGGCAAATAGAGATGTAGAAATGGAAGGATGGAAAAATAACACAGGGTTGAAAAGATGCAAAAAATAACATGAAAACAGAAAGATGAAAAATTCTGAGGAGATGGAAAGGTGAAAAAAAAAATGCAGAAAACCAAAAGGATGCAAAAATAGCACAGAAATGAAATGATGCAAAAAATGATGTGAAAGTGGAAGGTTAAAACAATGATGCAGAAATGGAAGGATGCAAAAAATTATGGGAAAATGGAAGGATGGAAAAACAGTGCAGAAATGGGAAGATGCCAAAAAAATAAATGCAAAAATGAGATGATGAAATTATGATGCAGAAAACGAAACGCTGCAAAAAGCGGAAACGTGAAAATGAGGAAACAGCAAAAAATGATGCAGAAATAGAGATGCCAGAAACAACGTGGGAGTGCAGAGATGCAAAACCCAACACGAGAGTGC